GCATATGCATCTGTGTCTGTATGTGGGTATATGAACAGGTATCTAAGTATCCTTGGAGACTAGATGTGCCAAATCCCCTGGAGTTGGAGTTACTGGGTTGTGACCCACACAGTGTGGCTGCTGGGAACCAAACCTGGGTCCTCTCTGAGAACACTGACTGCAGACTTTTTTTTTTTAAATATTTATTTATTTATTATGTATACAGCATTCCATCTATGTATGCCTGCAGGCCAGAAGAGGGCACCAGACCTCATTACAGATGGCTGTGAGCCACCATATGGTTGCTGGGAATTGAACTCAGGACCTTTGGAAGAGCAGGCAATGCTCTTACCCTCTGAGCCATCTCTCCAGCCCCTGACTGCAGACTTTTAACCTCTAAGTCATCTCTTTAGTCCCAAAATAAAATTTTAAAGGTGGGGGGTGCGTGTGTGTGGTAAAGACAAATGAGGTAGGTGCCCTTGTCATGGGTGATGGGCTGTGTCAAGAGAGCAGCTGCATCACAGGGTACATACCTCTCCCTGCTGCCCCCTGAGCATGCTCCTTCAGAACAGCCTGGAGGAAGGGGTGTGGCTTTTCCTTCTGCAGCGCTGGGATCAAGCCACACCAGGTGAGCACTCCAGCGGCACCCTCAGCTGGGTCTAACTTGGTTTCCTGGTTGGTTTTTTAAGCCAGCTAAGCCACAGCTTTACTGTTAATTGGATGGATACATTACAGCCCAAACCTGTCAGGGCAAGTTATTCAGCACGTTTTCCTGGCTGGGAAAGAACTTACCAACCAAAACCAACCAAACTAAACCAACCAAACCAAACCAAACCAACCAAACCAAACCAACCAACAAAAACCAACCCGAGTTTAGCATCTGTGGCTTACCAGAATACAGAAAACAATCAGGTAAAATAAATAAATAAATCAAAATGGATTTTCAGGTTTGGAGAGGCGAAAACAAGAATGTTGGTTTCTGGGCAATTATCTGTAGCCTTTAAAGCTGCATTCCATTGCATGCATGGACCCGAACCAGTACTCCCTGAATGCTGTTCTCGGCACTCACATGAATGACCAAAAATGTAACACTTTTCCCTCAGAGATTAAGAAAACTGGTTAGTTCCCAAACCAGATGTCCGAACCACAGGGAAGCTGAAAATGTCAGCTGCTGAAAGCGAATTCCATTTTAGGGGGACACAAGGTCAAGGACTTCAGACACAACCAGATTTAAAAAAACACAAAGGGTAATTTAGGGTTCTGTGTTGTCAGTACCAGAGGCTGCGCACTAGGTGGCACTGTGAGCCAAGACTGAAACCGAAAGAGCAAAAGGGCGCATGCAATCTAGGGTTTGCAGGGTTCTGACCGAGGGTGCATTAAGTTGGAAGGGTAAAAGATGAACAGACTCAGAAAAGTTCACCATGGGGCGAATGTGTGGGAAAGATGACGGCTGAGAAATTTATAGCCGCACTGATGAGTTGAACAGGTAGCTGGGCTGTGTCAACAAAGAACCAAGACTCTGGAGACACAGTGCTGAGGCAGAAGGCGGTCAATTGAGGTCGGGGCTACACACAGGGAGATCCTGGCTCAAACAACAAACACAAAAAGAAACAAACGCAAATAAATACAAGAGAAAAGGATTACTCTGCAGGGACAGAGGACGTAAGAGATTGGACTTTAAAGGAGCTGGGAGGCTTCCTGAGTTTAAAGGATGCTAGGACCTGGAGCACACTTCCCTAGCCCGACAGAGAATTCGGGCTGGTGATGGAAACAGAAGATACAACTTATTCCATAAGCAGGCAGGCAATGCTAGAAAGTTATTTTCAATGATAAATGAAACAGGGAGGGCAGCGAGACGGCGCAGCAGGGCAAGGGCTCACTTGCTGCCAAGTCCTGACCTCGTATTAGATCCCCAGACCGTGGAAAGGTGGAAGGAGAGAACGGGCTCTTCCGACATGTGCCAGCCCCACCATTCACACACAGAAATAACGAACAATAAACTGCGAAATCTACACGGCTCTCAATACTCACCTGAGGCCTTGGTGAGAATCAACTCCTGACTCTCCTTAGGAGACACGAGGAATAGTCTTGTCACCAGAGACCTGTACAGGAGCTACCAACAGTGAGGGCTGTCTTCACGACACGAGGCTGGCCGGGCATTCTCCCAGCACCTGTTTGATGTGGAACGGCTTTTTTTTTTTTTTTTTTTTTTTTGGTGGTTCACGGGTGTGGTGGTTAATTATGATGGCCAACTTGACAGGATTGAGAGCTAAGAGACGGACCTGGATCTGGCTGTCAGCGAGTCTCTGGGCCCCGCTAACAGAGATGAGAAGGATCAGCACACTGGGTGGCGCCACGCCACTGCCCGGGGTCCCTGACCAATAAGAACAGTGAGTTCAGCACCAGCATCTATCTGCTTCCCGGCTGTGGATGCCATGTGACCAGCTGCCACTGGGGAATGCACCCCCAACCTGTCTACTATCTCTGTCACAGGAAGGAGAAAAGTAACTAATTCCAGAACGCCACTGATCGGCAGTCCTACTGAGGCGAACCCTGGGCCTTGCAATGAGAGGCTGGGACTAAACTGCTGAGCTGACTCCCAGCCCAGACTTAAGCCTGTAATAAACCTGGGCTTTGCTCAGGAAAGGTGGATGCTCAGCAGAAACTCATCCTTTGGGAAATCTTCCTTCAAAGATGGTCCGGCTTTCACCTAAAGTCATGCAGTCCTGCCCTTGCTCTGGACCCATGGCAAGTTGAAAGCATTCAAAGCAATTACTAACGCCCGATGAACCCGTAAGTGCTGAGTTCAGATTTGAAACTTAAGTCAAGCATCAAACAGCACTGACATCAACAAACACATTCCAGAGCTTTAGATAGGATCTTGGCTTGCTGCGGCTCAGGCTTTGTGAGTTTGCAGAGCAGTTAAAAATGGTAGGGACAGATACATGGATGGCTGCCATCTTATTTTGTCAAAGATTAGCCGGGTGGTAGTGGTGCGTGCCTTTAATCCCAGGACTCGGGAGACAGTGGCAGATGGATCTCTTTGAGTTTGAGGTCAGCCTGGGCTATTACACGGAGAACTCATCTCGAAAAACCAAAACGGAAAAAAAAAAAGAAAATTACTTAAAGGAAACAATACCACTACCAAGATTTCAGTGAAGGATACTTTGATATCGTAAATATTGGAATTGCCTTACAATAAAAAGTAAATTCATGCTGATAACTTTTTATTATTACTTTTCCTTCCTGGATAGCTAAACATTTGACCTTGGTCAAAATTTGGGGACCAAAGTCTTATGTCATTTAGCACAATCACATCCACTTAAAAAGCTGAGAAGAGAAGTGGCTCTGCCTGTCAGGGACAGGTCTACCACGGAAGCTTAGGTCTGTGACCCTAGCAGGAGTGAGGCCAAGACAGGCCTGTGTTCAAAACTAGCCTGTGTTACACGATAAGACTCTGTCTCTAATAAATACATCTTGGCAACTAGCAGAATACACTCTCAAACAGAGCCTATATCACTTATGCTACTAACTGGAGACCTCAGGCAATGTTTATCTTAAAGCCAAATATCACCATAATGGATGCCAAAATTAAAAAAAAAATCTACCTAACTGGGAGCGGCTATCATTTACCAAATAAACCTTATTGTATGATGCCATAATCGAACGCATATCTTTTTGGTTACATCACAAACTGTGATATCCAATTATGGGGTATAGACATCTGACAGACAGATGTCTCTGCATCTCTAACATGGCCCTTCACACTGGAAACCAAGAGAACTCAAGACCTTTCTGCGGAAAGTGAGGCCAGTCTTCCAGCGGTTCCCCTTTCTGGTGAGACAGTCGCATAAGTGTATGTTGGTCTGAAATCTGGAGACAAACCCTGGAAGGGCCAGTTAGTACAACTTCCTTGACTTAAAAGGCCGAGAAACAGGCTGCAGACACAGTTTCGTGGGTAAAGTGCCTGCTGTGGTGTGCATGAAGACAAGTCAGGATCCCTAAACCCCCAGAAAAGCGAGGTGAGCCTGGGATTCCAGCACTGGAATCCAGTGCTGGGGGTTGGGGGAAGACAGGAGGATCCCTGGAGCTCCTTGGCCAGCCAATGTAGCCAAACAGATGAGACCCAACAGTGACTGCTGGCCTCCACACGGGACCACATACCCCATATGAACACATACAACATGCACACACACAGGCTGAGAGGCCAAGTGGTTTGCTGAGGTCAGTAAATGGCACAGAGAAGAGAGCACACTGTTCACGGGGGCTCAGCTCGTCAATGAGGAGGACGTGTGAAGCCTTGGGTGTTCAGGCAGAGTAGCAACGGTGCATATTAACACTGTCTTCGAGCCTCTGTAAGGAAAAGGCTGCACAGCTGAAAAGAAGATGGAATCCTTTTTATCTTCAAAGCTAGTTTCTTTACTAGCGCAAGCCATGCACTTGATTATCCAGGGTGGGAAATAAGAATTTCCTATGCTTTTGATGGAAACTTGTTACTCTCTGCAAGGCTCTGTGATTTCGGGATCAATATACATGAACATGGGTATCGAATCCCATAAGGCCTTCAGTCCGATGCCCTTCTACTATTGGGCTTAAGTCCTATATGACTACATTTTGTTTTGTTTTTGCACATATGGATGTGTGTAATCATATTCACATGTATGTGGTGCATGTGTGCAGGTGCAGGGGTGTGCAGGGGTGTGTTCAAATGGAGGTCTGAGGTTGACACCAGCGTCTTCTTTGATAGCTCTCCACTGATTTGAGGCAGCGCTTCCATTTAACTCAGACCTCATCGATTCTGGCTAGTCCAATTGGTCAGCTTGCTTGGCTGATTCTCAACCCCTGACTCCCAAGGCTGGGATGACAGGCAAGCCTCCATAACTGCCCGGCTTTTACATAGGCACTTTATCCACAGAGCCATGGTCCCAACATTCTTTGTAACTACTTAACCAGCATCACTGTGGTGGTCTAGATTTCTGCTATTGGTGGATCAATTAAATATCCACAGAGAGGAACACAAGGAAGTTGTTGCCCCTTTATTGTTGACCTGGGCAATTTTAAGGAGAATAACATTTAGTTAATTCTGACTGAAAACATTAAAACACACAAGCTGAACCCACACTATCACCTTGGCCACAAGGACAGACAAGGTCATGGCAGATTTCCCTTATCCTGTAATAAATCAATGCAACTTGATCACCCTCCATCACCTTCCAAGTTAACTAAGTAATCTGAAAAGGTGATTTTTCTTTAAATTTACAAGTACAATGTACATGTACATGATGTTGAGAATAATTTAATATGTTAACCTCAGATACATCTATATTCTAAGACTATCACTGTAAAGGAACGGATCCTTACATGACCAAAATAACCCATATACCATGAGGTTGGTTTAGCCGTTCTTTTTTATGCCCTTTCAACAAATGTGCACCACGTGCTCCAACAGCAAGGCTAAAGCCATGAATACAAAAGCTGCGATTTGCGAGGTACCAACCACATCTAGAACCCAGGGAGGTCAATCAGACAGAGTGAGTGTCTCATTAATTAATTAATTCTAATTAAACGATCAGGTGACATCACAACACTCTGGGGTGCAGCACTGAAAATGTCCATTAAGTTTCTTTTTTCTTGATGATCAGAGGTCCCACGTTGTCTCCAGTCTCCTCATTATGTTTTATGTGAGCCCCATCACAGAATGGAAACTAGGAAGAGAGAAAGATTGTAAGATGTCTAATCTCCACACCAGTCTCTGCTTGCAGCAGGGGATAGGAATGCCTAGTACCCATACACCACAGCTTCTATATTTCTTGGCTAGCAAATGTATTTCATTGAACAGGAGGAAGAAATGGACAGGGGGATAAAATCCAGATCGCTACTCTCAGACTTCCCTGAGATCTGGTGACGCATGTTAAAGGACACCACTCTAGGGACTTATGCCTTTTGTCTATTTACAAATAGGCAAAATAAAAACAAAACAAAACAAAACCCAATGAGGTGTGTGCTGAGGGTTGAATCCTGGGTTTTGTGCACACTCTCCCACATGCCCATGGCTCTACGTGGAGGAGTTCAAGTGTATTCCATTACAATCAATTTGTCGTTGGGGGTAGTAGTTACACACCTATAAGGTCAACATTTGAGAGGCAGAGGCACAAGAATCAAGAGTTGCAGGCCACATAAAATCCTGTCTCAAAAACCAACAAAACAAACAAACACAACAATCCAGAAGAAAAATCAATTTACTATGATCCCTATGCCAACCATCCTTGCTGCAATCTTTGCTCCAGGTTCTCCATTTTGCTCATTCCTGAGCCCCTAGTGTTTTTCCCTTTAATGTATAGTTCATTTTGAATGGGTCATGAAGACATTTTCTTTTTGAAATATGATTATAAATTCCTAATGTTCCTTCATTTTCACTAATCCACATCACAGATCTAACTGACATTATTGTGTCTGCCAGTGTTTTCCAGAGAGGTTCCAAGAGCCAACTTCTGCAGGATACGCACTTGCTTCTGCTGTGCTTACGAAGCAGATCAGAGACTGATCTGAGTCACAGCAGACTTTTTATTATTATTATTTTATTTTATGTGTATGGCTATTTACATGTGTGTGCAGTGTCAGGGAAGGCAAGCAGAAGGCGTCAGATTTCTGGACCTGGAGCTCCAGAACAGCCACATGTGCGCTAAGAACAGGGAATGTCAGCCCTGGGTTTTAACTGTGGGGACAAAGAGTATTCCTGGGGGATACTCTTGAGCCAGGCTGCTGATCTACTCACAGTGTGATAGGCATTTAGGACACCAGCTTGTGCCTATTCTTGATTCTTTCTGAGATCTTAACTCTAACAAAATCGTTATCTACTTATGGGACAAGTCAATGCCAGAAGTTTCCTCCTGCCTCTGCGAGCCCTCTTTCCCTGTTCACTCTCACCGACAGCAGCTCATACTGGTAGCACTGGTTTTTTTGGTAACATAGGCTTTCACCGACTTGGACACAGAGTTTTAATTATTCTGTTGAAACGGCAGCAAAAGGTCAGCTGCTAATTGCTTAATCCAAGAGTCTCCCCATCATCACCCACTCACCTGGCCATGCTGCCAGGCCAGTTCAGCACCAGAGTCTGGAAAACTCTCCTTCCTACTTCGACACTCTATCTTAGCTTCTCTCCCGACTCTGTATCCAAATGCAGAATATTCTTTGAGATTTCATCTCTGATTCTTATCGAGTCCACCTTGACTCACCAGTTCTGGGGGCCTCCGCTGCCACCTTGTCCCTAAGCCACGCCCACTGCTCCTGCAGATCAGCACCTCAAACTCACTCTTTGCAACTTAACTGCTTAGCACTGCTGTGGAGACATTAGCTTTTCAACCTGAACTCCGCGTTTCTGGTGAAGATGCCCCCTTTAAATCACACACTAAGACCCTGCAGTTTCCTCCCCAGTCTCCCTGATAGTCCCTGCCAGGGCTGGAGAGACATCAGCAGGTACCTGTCTGCTGCTCTTCCAGAGGACCTGAGTTTGGTTCCCAGTACCCATGTCAGGTGGCTTACAGCTACCTATAACTCTAGTTCCAGGGGGACCCAACTCTGTGGGCACCTACACTCACGCACATACAAAAATAAAGCGAATAAAAGCTGGGCGGTGGTAGCGCACACCTTTAGTCCCAGCACTCGGGGAGGCAAAGACAGGCGAATCTCTGTGAGTTCAAGGCCAGCCTGGTCTACAATGGCTAGTTCCGGGACAGCCAGAGCTATACAGAGAGACCCTTTCTTGAAAAACAAAACCAAACCAAATCAAACCAAACCAAACAAACAAAACGAAGAAAAAAAGTCTTTTCAAACAGTCACTCTTTTCCACGGATCCTGCAGATCTCTCTGTACGCCCGCAGTCAGCATTCTACTCTAAGTCATGTCTGAAAGACCCATGGCCCAAAGCATGAAGCAGTTTGCACACCAGCCCCCTCTCCTTAGGACTGCGGCTGTCTGGCACATTTTGAAAAAGCATTCCCAATGCCTGCATGTGCTCATGCACGTGTCTCGTTCTCCCAGGGACAGTCGAACTTTCAGAAAATTGTAGCCCACGGCACAAGCACTCCCATTCAGCAAAGCACCCGAATTACACATACCGGGCTCACCTGGGACACCAGTGTTTGCATGGGAGCAGGTGCACACTGAGCAGGTTTAGGAATCTACATTTCACATTACTGATGAAGAGCTTCTGTGACTGCGGGGAAGTCTCCATGTTTCCTTCCTATGGTTTAATGAGCAGCACGAACGGAGCCTATGTAGGCACAGCTTTGAAAACAAGTCTAGTCTACAGAGCACCAGAAGATTATGTCCTAGCAGCTCCGGGAGTACCTACAGTTCACATTCCATATCCACACCAGGCCTTGTGGGACACGTGACATCTCTTAAACTGTGTTTTATGAGTACTGCTCCTGCACAAGACCTGAGCTTGAACCCCAGCTTTCAGCACTCGCTGGGCGCCTTACAGCTGCCAGTAATTCAAGCTCCAGGGGGATCTGATGCCTGTGGCCTCTGCAAGCACTTATGCTCATGTGAACACATCAACACACGCACGCATACAAACACACAGTATGGAAAACTAAAAAGTAATAAAATAAATTACTCCCCCAAACACACTTTCTAGTAGGCATTATATAGCCCTTTCTATGTTTATGACACAATTCATGATAGCATTCTCCACTGCGGTAAGCCTCTGATATATCGCCATTTCAGAAAATGGTACTTAAAATTATGTGGGGTTGGTTTTTTTTTTTTCCTTTTTCTAAGATCTAGCACTAAACTCATGGCTTCCACCACTGCCTATACTCCCAGCTCGGCATGCCACGGCCTTGGAAATTAAGCTTTGGAAATCAATTTTCCACAAATGTGAACAGCAGCCCATTCAGAGACAGCACTGGGTCTCTCGGGACATCTGAAATTCTGAAGTCACCCACTGCGTCCCCCAGTCGTTTAGAAAGAGGATCCCACTGTCCATGCCTAGAGCCTGCAGGTGTCACCTCCATCTGACAGAATAGAATTCTTATCACAGCAAGTGAATTTTAATGGATTAAAAATTGCCAGGTATTTAATTATAGGAACTGTAGCTAAAAGAAGGCTTAGGATATTTCCCAGTAAAGAATCTAAGCCAGGGGGCTGGAGAGATGGTTCAGAGGTTAAAAGCACTGACAGTTCTTCCAGAGGTCCTGAGTTCAATTCCCAGCAACCATGTGGTGGCTCATAACCATCTATGAGATCTGGTGCCCTCTTCTGGCCTGCAGGCATACACGGAAGGGATACTATATACATAATAAGTAAATAAATCTTAAAAAAAAAAAAGAATCTAAGCCAGGTGAGGTGCTGTACACCTATAATCCACACTTGGGAGCCAAGACAGGAAGGCTGGCACCAGTGCAAGGCTATCCTGGCTACAAAGGGAGCCTCTGTAGGTCCACGGGCTACCCAGCGAGATCCTGTCTCTCGCACACACTGGCTCAGGCTCAGTCTCTTTCTCGCTGCACTCAGGCTGCAGACGTTCCTCCCGAGATAACCTTGGAGAAGAATTCCCAGTGGAAAATCAGAGACTTTTCCTTCACCTTTGGGGAAGGAAGATGATGGTTAACTCGGTTGAACTCAGTGAGGGTATGATGTAATACAGCTGTGTGGCAGCTGTGTATCTGAAAAAATATACTCCACGAGAGTAGGGGAAGCTGCGTGTGGTGGGGCAAGCCTGCAACCCCAGCGCTGGAGGCAGAGGCAGCAAGTCTGAGCTGCCCTGCGAGACCCAGCCTCACACGGGGGCAGCGCTCACCTTTTTGGACCTCCAGCAGCGGCAATACACAGCCTTATCTCCCAGGTCCTCCATGTCGAAGGCATGCACGACCTTGGGGTTGTCTTTCTGGATCTGGAGGTTCACCATAGCTTTGGTACGATTATCTTTACCATAGAACTTTTTGTAAGCCAGGTAACCGAGAGCAGCTGTCCCAGCAGCAAATGTCACGGCTGCAATCCACTCAACTGCAACAGACAAGGGAGGCATAGAATTAGAGACAGGAAAGCCCACGGAACCTGACAGGCATAATTTTAAAAATCACATTCATTTCTGATTTATGTGTAGATGGCACGTGCTCACAGCACGTGTTGAGGTCAAAGGGCAACTTCTGGGAGTTAGCTTGCAGTCTCCCTCCATCACGTGGATCCTGGAAATCTAACTCAGGCTGACAGGCTTGGTAGCAAGCACCTTTACCTGCGGATCCATCTTGCCAGTCTGGTAATGATTTCCAGTGTTAACAAATGACCCAAGCCCAGTGGTGCGGCAGTCCTTTCCTCACGGCTTTCTACAGCCCTCACTAACACAGACGTGGTTTTGCTGCTGAGTGGACAGCTAAGCTAATCTAAGAGAGGGAAGAGCGAAGACGGCAGCGAAGGGACAGCAAGGCCTGATAACCTTTCAAGTGCCCACTAACATCTTCAGCCTGCAAGTGTCTACTGCTTGAAGAAGAAAACTAAGTCTGAGAAATAAGACCCAGGTTATAAACAAAACAGAAAGGTCAGGAGGTGCTGGCTTTCACTAGCAAATGAGCTCACTTAAAGAGCAAAATCCTGTAGTGGCTTTGAAAAGTTTTAATTTATCAAAACCGCTACAGTAACACAAATAGAATCAGATCTAGACAAGACGAAGAAAGACCTATAACCCCCACATCCCCAATCACCAAGCATTCCCAGGATTTGCCTGGCAGGGTTGGGTCTAGGACAGAAGTTATTCAAAGGCAACCAAAATGTGCACATTGCTTCCTCATAAAATACAAAGCAGACTATAATAGTTTCATATGAAACATTCAATAAATTCATTTCTATTTTCTTTTTGAATTTCTAAAACTTCATTTTGAGGGAAATATTATTCTAATTATCCTATAATTAGATAATTACTATTATCCTAATAATAGTAAAAATTATTGGACTAACAGGCCATGTATTTATTCCTTCTGCATCCAAGGACTCCTTAGAAACCCAAGTGCTTAGCAGCTACCCCGGCTCCAGGCAGTGAGTGCAGAAGCTAAGTTCGGCATTATCTGGTTGGCCTTAGCCTCAGAAGAGAGTCGTCTAGTCCCAGCATGGAGGGGTTGCAGGAAGAAGTCGGACAGGGTCAGGAGAAACACACTGGGCTGCTTCCTAGCACTTCCTCAGTCAGGTCTTCAGTGTCTGAAATGAGTTCCCAGACTATCAAATAAAGCCCTAGGGAGATAAGTACAAGAACATTTTATTGCCAAACACAATCCCATGGGCGCAGTGGACCCCAGGACGTTTCTGCTGTCTCACAAGCGGGACGGATCTGATGGTGCCTACACAAACCACAACTGGAACTCTAGCTTTTCTCTTTTCTTTCTTTTTTTGAGACAGGATTTCTCTGTGTAGCTCTGGCTGTCTGGGAACTTGCTCTGTAGAGCAGGCTGGCCTCGAACTCACAGAGAACCTGCCTGCCTCTGCCTCCCGAGTGCTGGGATTAAAGGCATACTGGAGCTCAATCTTCAAGAAGAAGCTCAAGCTTCAAGAAGAGTCTTCATACCAAGCTAATCCTTTTCATTTCAGTCTTCTCAATTCTTAATAGCTTCCACCATTGTCTCTAATGGGCACACTCTATGGATCATGGGCTCTGTTTTCAACTACATACAGCAACATCTTTCTCTGCAAAAACCAATTCAGATTGGCTTCCATCCCAGGTCATTTCCATTTCTTCTTGCTAGGGCACCTAAAATAAACATTAACTGGTATTTTGTTATTCCCAGGTGCCACATGACCAGTGGTCACCTGACACCTTCAAACCTTTGACCTCATTGGGAATTTTTTTTTTTTTTTTTACAGTACTGGGAACTGACCCAAGGCTTCTAGGCAAATGTTCTGCCTCTATGCTGCACGCCAGCCCTTCAGCACATTTTGTAACTATGTATTTTGTGCACATTTCTCTTGAACACCGGTGTTCAAGTGGGGTTAAAATTTAGTTCAGTTTGCCTGACCCCCAGCATTCCCCTTCGACAAAGAGTTCAGGAAGAAGCTGCAGGTAGCTACAGCCAATGCGAAGTTACTCACAATTCAAATGGAAGAGTTTGAGGCCAACCTTAGCTAGACATTGGACCCTGTCTTAAAAAGATGAAAAACCACAATGTCACAGTGTCTGCTGACATGTAATCGGAACTCAAAAGGCAGCTAGCTATAACCCTTCGTCTAAATTAAGATAGCACAACTCCTTGAATATTGTGATCTTAGTTCTTCTGTTTCAGGAACTTAATTTTCCAGGTAAATTAACCCACCCCTGATGCCCATTTGCTGTAATGGAACCCAGGCTCCACCTCCTGAGAAGCCTTTTATATTTATTTTAATGATCCCCACAAACTTCAAATGTACTGAGGTTTGTAGAACAACTGGCTGGCATTTAGTTGAAGGTAGTAAACATTCTTCCATTCTCTTTTCTCAGATTACGATATTAATATACAGGATGACATTAAAAAACAAATCCCAAATAAACTTTACCTTCTCCAGGTTTTTTTTGACCAGGGGAAAAATGAAAGAGGATCGGACACAGAAAATCAGCCATACCATAGATGTTGTGACAGACAGACACTCAGGGTGTCTGTCCCATGGGAATCGATATACAGGCCCTGTGACCACCCTGACAAGTGTCACAGTACCTACCGCACGGATGCTGGAGAAACAGCATTGAATGCACTCCAAGTGAGTGCTGAGACTCATAGGGCTACATAAAGCCTTGGAGGGGAAATTCTATTCTTCCTTCTTCCCAATTCTGATTTTCTAATCTCACTTAGGGACAAACTGCTAGTTTCCAGACAGGAGAAAAATGTTGCTATTTTATCACTCCATTACTGCACCCTCAGTCTTTTTTTTTTTTTTTTTCTGGCAAAAAGTGGCAAACACCCCTGGTAACTCCAGGGCAAAGAAGGAAAAGGGAAGTACAGAGTTAGAAAAAAACGATTCAAACGCCAACCAGGAGAGAAAGAATCAGAGAGTAAGCAAATCACACAACCCAAGAACACTCAGTGTTTGCCCTGCCTCTTCAGGTGGGGAGCGCTCAGCATGGCAGAAGTCTGTCTCTTAGGATTAGTAAGACACCACACGCCTGTCGGGCTGGAGTTCCGCATCCACCACCAGACGCTGGGTACCCGCTGGGGTCCTGCTCTTCACACTCAGGGCATGGCGGGGTCAGTCTTATGTTCATTCACAACTTCAGAGACAAGGCAGGACTCTTGAGAGGCAGAATTGCTCTCTACTGGCCCTATCGACCCTGAGCACCTTCCTGCCTCCTCCAGGGCTATCTCTATACAGTTCTTAAGGGTGGCTCTTCCTGGAGATCCGTCAAACCTGTTTTCTTCTACATAAACACCATTAAAGGGAGATTAGAGTCAGGCAACGGGGCAACAAGCTCTCTGCTTCCTCCTGCTGCCGTGGGCTTGCTTTATAGCCTCTGGTTTTCCTTGGACGTGCTCCTAAACCCACAGACCTCTTTATGACTGACTGATCCCTCCGATCTGCTTCTCCGGGAGGGTGAATTTGCTTTGCCTTAGAAATCTCACCCTTCTTTTCCTTTAGACTAGTTTCTGCCCAAAGGACCTTCACCTACCCACTACCACCACCAACTGCCACAGAACCGGAATGTGTGTAGGTCAGGAGAGGGGGAGGGGCAGCATGCTGAAACCAAGCCTTCCAGGCCTGCGTTTTTTTCCCCCTCCAGGTTTGGTACACGCGGCATCAATGTCAACATCAAGGGAGCAATATACAGTGGTAGATGACCAATTCACTTGATTTTCACCTGTCTCTTCCATGGCCTCAGTGTTCCTATATCTGAGCTTTACTTTCTCAGACTCAGAAAACAAAAAGCATCAGCATAGGGCACCGCAGACACTGCGGTTATTTTTCCTCATTCCAGAAACTTCCACCAAAGACAACAGCTCGTATTTCAATCCCAGCTCCAAACCCCACTCTAATTATCTGCTTACTATGTTTTTGCTGTGACCTGTACATTCTTTTGCAGAAAAAAAATCCATTAAATAACTTTGCGAGACTCAAAAAACTTACTGAATTAATAAATTGTGATAGAATGACCTGGGAAGAAAGAAAGGAGTTTGAAGAAAGCATGGATATAAATAGTGTATAAACTGATGGGCCAGCATTAAGAGCTTGTGATGACCCAGGCTGGGAGTGAACAACAAAGCACACAAAAACACATAAATCCCTCTTTACAACCTGTGGACAGGCCCAAGTAAGAAAATAACACAAGAGAAGGCAGGGCAAGGCAGCCACCATTAAAACACAAAGCTTAGGGCTGCCAAGAGGGCTCAGAGGTGTAGGTGCCTGCTGCCAAGTCTGTCTCCCTGAGTTTCATCCTGGACCCACACTGCGGGAGGAGAGAATAATGCCCACAGGTTGTTCTCTGATCTCTGCTCAAGTGCTGTGATCTGTGTGCCCCCCATCCTCGACTCATATAAAATAAGTAATTTATTTTAAAAAAAAAATTTGATTTGAGAGGCTGGTGGGATAGCTCCGTGAGTAAAGGCACTTGCTGGGAAAGCCAGATGACCTCACCTACAGAACAGAAGAACAGACTCTACAAAGCTGTCCTTCGACTGATACTCTGCTAAGCAGCACGCATGCCTCCTCCTTCCACATCAGCAGCATGCATGCCTCCTTCCACATCAGCAGCATGCATGCCTCCTCCTTCCATATTAGCAGCATGCATGCCTCCTCCTTCCACATCAGCAGCATGCATGCTCCTCCTTCCACACCAGCAGAATACATGCCTCCTCCTTCCACAGCAGCAGCATGCATGCCTCCTTCTTCCACAGCAGCAGCATGCACGCCTTCTTCTTCCACATCATGTGCACACATACGTGTGCTTATGCACACAAACACACACAGAGGAAATTATTCAGTTGAGCTGGCTTCTTAGTTTTAGAGGTAAATTATGGCTGACTTTTGGCTGGACAGAGTAAATCATTTATATGGAGCATGTTTTAAGACAAGTAGTCAGATGTGGCTGCTTACATCTTTAACCCAGCACTGGGAGGCAGAGTTAGGTGGATCTTGATGAGTTTGAGTCCAGCTTATTCTGTGTAGGGAGTTCCAGGCCAGCCAAGGTTATATAGCAAGATGTTGTCTCAAATAAATAAACAAACAAAGCAAATGAAAACAAGCCTTGGTAAGACAGCACAAGATAAGGCTATCTAGAGAGCCAGGAAGGCTGACAGCAGGCTCTGTGAGGTGTAGAGGCATTTACATCAGAGCGAGTCCAGAAAGGCCATCTACTGGGCAAGAGGAAGAATCATGAGATTGCATGCGTGGGCACCGAAGGCCACTTTCCAGAAACCAGAATGAGCTCACAGGTGCATGCCCAAAGTGTCTCTTCCTAACTAGGGGAGAGTCTCAAGTTCTAGTGCTCTTCTGCATTGTCTCTAACTCTAGTTCTGGTCTGACATCAACTTAGTTTTATTAACCACTTTCCCCATGCACCCAAGGCTTTCCCTCCCCAATATAAAGAATTCTGCGAGCATAGACATTCTCCCCGCCCCCTTTTAATTTTTTTTTTTTTTGTCTTGCGATAATCATGTTACATAGCCTAAGCTGGCCTCCAATTCTTTGATTCTCCAGCCTCAGCCTCCTGGGTTAGCAGGTTATTTCCAGCCACACCTGGCTGTAAAGCAGTATTTTATTTTTTATTTATTTATTTTTTTTGTTTTTTTTTTGAGACAGGGTTTCTCTGTAGCTTTGTAGCCAGTCCTGGAACTAGCTCTTGTAGACCAGGCTAGCCTCGAACTCACAAACATTCTCCTGCCTCTGCCTCCCGAGTGCTGGGATTAAAGGCATGCGCCACCACCACCCGGCTTCAATATTTTATTTTTCAACTAAATACCAGTAGGAATGTGACTCTGAGGGTCCAGGATGTGGTTCAACTGGCACATTGCTTGCTTTGTTGGCATGAAGCCCCGAGTGAAATCCCTAGCGCCAAATAAACTGGGTGTGATATTGCATATCTACAATTCCAGCACCTAAGTAGAGGCAGGAGGATCACGAGTTCAAGTTAGAAGGCAGCCCGGGCTAAACAAGACTCTGTTAAAAAAGAAAAAAAAAGCAAGCAAACAAACCACAACAATTTTATGAGGTACAAGAAGTAAACTTTAAAAGGTATATTGCAGGGGCTGGAGAGATGGCTCAGCAGTTAAGAGCTGTTAAAACTGTTTTTCCAGACTACCAGGGCTCCAGCCCCAGGACCCATGTGTCTGGATCACCAGCTCGCGGGTAACTAACTGACACCCTCTTCTGGCTTCCATGGGCACATCATGCACACCGTGTACCAATAACACGCAGCCCAAAAAGTCGTACACATTAAATCAATTAAATCTTAAAAGGGGGGCATTTCTTTCCAAGGCATTCTATATTCCAACTCTGAGGGGGAAAGAGCAGGAAGAAGAGATTTGCAAAGACTTTGGGACTCTCCTTATGGTCTTTATAATGATCTCTCTGCTGTTCCTATTTTTAAAAAGTTACCCCACATGACAAAGGTAAGTACTTCACGTTGGAGCTAATTGGGGGGTTCCAATAAGAGGTTTCATATATCTTCAAGAATGGTAAGCTAACGGAGAGCCACCTTTGAGATTCCTTGTGCCCACAAATTAAGCAAAACCAAAACTTTATCTTCGTTTCAACAGCATACTAAATCAGGTCCTAGCATCTGCTCATGCAGTAGGATCCCAGATTTCAAACAAAAACCTATTTTGCAATCTCTTGGCTCACCTCATACATGTGCAACAGTGTTCTTCCTACAAAGTTAAGACAACTGCACCACAAATCACATGCGTGTTTTATTTTATGCAACAGTATTACTGCCAAGAACACTGTTTTTACAGGTGTGGTGGCCCAGGCCTATGGTCTAGGCACTGGAGTGGTTGCTACAGGAAGATTTTGAGTTCAAGACTAGCCTGGGCTACAAGGAAAGTTTATGTCTCAAAAAACAAAACAAAACCAAAAAAAAAAAAAACCCCAATAACAAACAAAACAAAACACCAGATTTTAAAAGCCATAAAGACAATTTAAACTCACCAAAGTGAATGTATTTAAAGGAGTCCCAGATGGTTACCCTTTGGAGTAAATTTTGCAAAATTTAGTAACTTAAAAATGTTTGGGCATTAGCATGATGGCTCAAGGGGGAAATGTGCCTGCTGCCTGACACCTGAACTTGATCCCCGGGACTCACACGGTGGGAGAGAATCAACTCCGACAAGTGGTCTTCTCACTACCACATGCGCCATGGCACCAGGGACACTCACACAAATACATGTTAAAAAATAAGTAAAACGGTCAAAAACGTTTTCCTCCCTTTAACATGCCAAGTCAGTTTCGTCGACATAAGTAGAACCTTCCAGTGTACAGAACTTAACTACTACCCAATTAATGTCCAAGTTAGGAATGGCTACAGAATCGAGCACCACAGACAACCAGTATTTGCTGGATGAATTAATGTGGTTCATCGTAACTTTTACCTTTATTTGACTAAGGTTAGAGGCAACCAAACCCTGGGGTGTGGCATTTTATACCTGGGCAGAGTCTATCGCCCATATTGCATAGCCTGTGGTCAACTTTAACATAAAACCTTACACTAGCCAAGTTTCACAAATTCTCTAAATTTCAGCCAGATTTCTTCAAAATACTGTTTTCAAGGCTTAGGGAAGAAGACTATTTTCAGTTGTTTCTTGGACCACTGCCACCAGTGGCCGGATTCAAGATGCGTAAGAAACTGAGAAATTAAAGACCTCGGTCGGATTAGATTTCTTCACCTTAAATTACAAAGCCAGCAAAATATCTACGACATGACCATTCCCGGACGCCAGAGACGCAGGAAGCTTCCAGTTTCCCCACACCGCCTCTCGGTGTCCTGGGAGGGACTACGGGGCAGAGGAGTTTTGGGGTGGACTGTGACCTGCTAGCCTGTGCCTGGCTGGGGAAGCGGTCCACGGTCAGAGATGCCGGCCCACACCAGCATCCCATGAGCTCCCGGCAGGCCTCATGCCTGTCCTTGTGCAGGTCAAGGTGACGGTCCGGATAAAGGTGGCGGGGACCCGGCCGCGGGCAGCTCACCTCGCACTGAGGAGTCGTAGCCGAGGCCCATGGTGCGGGCAGCGGGAAGGCCGTGGCAGGACCGCGCGGGCGAGCGCTGGGGACGAGGGAGACCCGGGCAAGACGCGACCTCCGGGAACACTTCCAGTCACTGCGCAGGCGCCGCGGCAAGCTTGGAGAGCGCGTGTGAGGGCGCGCCGGTAGAGTCGCGCATGCGCACTTGTCCCAACCCGGAGGAACAGTGAAGATTTGACAGCCGCGGGACAGCTTTGGATGCCAAGGCGGTGACTGCGTCTGTGCCAACCGGGCGAGACTATCCAGGCCGGGTTTTACAGGTGGTCCAGTTGTGAGCGGTTCAGGTGACTCAGGACTAGTAGCTGCAGGACTGTCGCCCTATGGTCTGCCAGTTCTTTATGGCCGCTCATAAGCCTGCTTTGGCTACAGGTAACGCAAGGTGTGGGCCAGCTCAGTTGTGGGTCCTGCAAATCTGGCCAGCTCAACTGTGGGTCCCGCCAGATCAGACTTTGCTATAGGATGCCAGTGCAGACACCGGCATTGATGGACCTCTCTGCTAGCCCTACACTGGGCCTCCATCCTTTGTCTTTGACCTTGCCAGTCATCCACCCAGAGAGTAACAAAAACGACTTGCTCCGACTGGCAAGACAGTTTAGCAGTAATGTTCTTGCTCAACGCCATTGTGCTTGCTCAACATGCACAACGCTCTGCCTTCAATTCCCAGCATCGCCTTGAATAAATAAACATAAGTGTCTCGAGTATTCGTCTCTTAAAAAAAAGTGTTCACTTAGAAAAACGACTTAGGAAGCCGCAGAGTCTTAGAGATTAAGAGCACATAGAGCTTTTTCCATAGGACCCAAGTTTGATTACCAACACCAACGTAGGTGACCTGCTCTTCCAGTTCCAAGGAACCCTACTCCACTGACCTCCTTAAGCACCGGCATACACATACAATTAACAATTTTTTAAAAAAGTGAATTAGGATGACTGTCAATCTCTAACACATAAACTTGTCAAGAAGACGATGAGGCCGCGGTTCGACGGGGTGCCAGCTGGAAGGCTGCATTCTCCTGCCTCTTTGATCTGGGAGGGCCAGACGTGGTGGGAGGTCTGACTATAACCAGCCACCTCTCTGGGTTGCCCTGCCGCCGCCTCCCAGGCATGGGGGACCTCACACTGGGAAGCACCTGGGATGACTGTTTGCCCCGGGAAGTTCTGGGGTGATGGGAAAGAAGCAACTAGTCGGCAGGTGAGACAGGAGTCCAATCCTGCGGTATCTGAGCATGCTCAGTGCTGTCCGGTAGCAGGTTCAGACTCAGTCAGACTCAGAACTTGCTCAGTTCGGTGCTGGCCAACCTTCTGGACGTGCTCCTGGAAGGATGAGCGGGTCTCGTCAATGGCTACTGCGCATGCTCAGGGGGACGCTGGCTGGGCTCCAGTAGGGTAGCCTCTGGGCATGCTCAACACGGCGGGGCCGGATCCAGGCTAGTAGCTTTTGCGCATGCTCAGAGTGGTGCTGTCCGACCGGAGCGAGAAGGGGGCGGGCAGAGGCGGGGCCGAGGCACCCTTATCCCCGGCGCGGGCGGCCGGGGTTCAGAGTGCGGGCCGCGGAGCGGGCAGCGCGGTCTCGGTATGGGTCCGCGCGCTAGGCCTGCGCGGGCGATGCCGTCCGGTCCTCCCTGACGCCTG